CAAGTCAAAAACCCTGATTACACATTTGAGAATGAACAACAATCTTTCCTGGTCTGAAAATAACGTTGATGATATCTCGACAGCCGAGAGAGAGTAGAGTAGAGCGAGGTGAAAGGTTTCCAGTCAAGAAGGTGACATAAGATAGTCAACTGTCAATCAATATTAGCACGTGTAAAATAGAAGAAAGAAGAAATTCGTGTATCAATCATGTAAATTCTAATTTGTCCTTATCTCACGAGACCCTTTGCAATTTTAATGTCTGTTAAAAAACGCAATGACAAGAACGTTAAAATAGTCTTTTTAAAAAGGAAAGCAAAACGAACATTCCCTCGAGATTTTCCTGAAACAGTTAACAAGATATTACACACTTCCATAATGAACGAACTGGCACTTGGGAGACTTATTTTTTCCCATTATCATGTCCACGTCACAAAGCTGTTGTCTACAATCCATAACTTGATCCGTAAAGTCGACAGTCATATCTTTACACCCGATCTCTTGGAAATGATTTATTCATAGATGATTATAGATTTCTTTATGTACTTCCCCCTAATTTGTCAAGTACACGACCACTCAATTAGATAAACAAAATCAAAGTCACTTGTCGTCTGCGTCAAGGAAGGAAAAGGCGCGAAAATTTACGAGATGAACACGGTATACTGTAGCGCCTAGTTGACACCTTCACGGAAATAGAATCGAATTGACACGACTAGAAAGTAGTCTGGAACATCAAGCAGTTCAATAAATGTCGTAAGAAAATAGATGACTTGACAATCGAAAATGTTGCAGAAGACATTGATATCGTCTGGTTGTGAAAATGGTAGAAACCGCGGGAGGAAGTTTGTTAATCAAATCTCAATATTGTAAGAAACAGTTGACACGCTAGTTGTTCTAATATACGACATGGGTCCCGTGGGATGATCCGATATATTGCCCACATTAATCATTCAGCGATTTGATTAGATAGCCAACTCGATCCGCCAATGTCGTTGGAAGACCTCGACATGTTTCTTAACCCCAGTTTTTTTCTCAATGTCATCAATATTTAAAATCTCATCGAAATTGTCACAGGATTATTGAGCTCACGTGACAATTAGAATCCAAACGCCCTGTCAATTAACCTGACTTCAAAGTGAAAGTCGCCTGTCACAATTATTCCCCGACCTGACGGTAGATAAAAGTCAAGGAATTGCTACTGAATATTTGATGTTGTTAACCAGATGACAAAAAAAAGACTCACGCAATCCCATGTGCTTCAGAGTTACAGGATAAAGTACATTACTTGTTGATCAGTATTGACTTCGGAATCATAAGGTATAAGTTAAGTCATTTTCTCAATGTAAAGCTTTAACTAACTACGTCTTATACCTTGACTTTTTGTATCACGGAAGTCTGTAAACGAAGCGATTTTGTTTTAGTTTACGTTAACGAATACAGCTCATCTGTCCTCGACCGATAGCCTAGTCTGGTTTTCATGCTCTTGTGGGCAACGTCACGCCAATCTATCCGTACCATTGCGTTTGTCCAGGGTAGGGCCTACCGATCCATCAAACAAGTTCGATATGTTTTGTTGGCGTCAAATATATATCAGAGATTAGGTATGAGTGATTAGGGTTTGGAAGTTACAATTCAATGGTAGGCACTAGTATGGCTATCTTTACAATGCCAAGCTATTACAGTCAAGGTATAAGACGAAGTTCGTAAAAGTTTGACATTGTGAAGATGCAGTTCGTAATAGTTTGATATTGTGAAGACGCAGTTCGTAATAGCTTGACATTGTGAAGACGCGGTTCGTAATAGCTTGACATTGTGAAGACGCAGTTCGTAATAGCTTGACATTTTGAAGACGCGGTTCGTAATAGCTTGACCTTGTGAAGATACAGTTCGTAATAGCTTGACATTTTGAAGATACAGTTCGTAATAGCTTGACATTGTGAAGATACAGTTCGTAATAGCTTGACATTGTGAAGACGCAGTTCGTAATAGCTTGACATTTTGAAGACTCGGTTCGTAATAGCTTGACATTGTGAAGATACAGTTCGTAATAGCTTGACATTTTGAAGATACAGTTCGTAATAGCTTGACACTGTGAAGATACAGTTCGTAATAGCTTGACATTGTGAAGATACAATTCGTAATAGCTTGACATTGTGTGTGAAGATGTGGTACAGAGTTAAACTTATAGTTTAAAACAATAATATTGTGATGCTAATATTCGAAGAACACGGTGTAATTTTTGTCAAGTTCTGGCAGAATTCTGTGTTCTATTTCACCTGAAGGTATCAGGTTACACCAACAGAAGGAATGTTCAAAGATAAAGAAGACCAAAAGACAGGAAGTCGTTTGTACAAGTTTCGTTTGTTTGACCTTTGTGTTTGGTAAAAAGAAGATAGGCACGCGACTAGGACTGTGAATATATCAGATAGTAAATATTTCAAACAGATGGGATTTATACCACGTCACAACAGCGCGTGCTTTGTCCTTCTGTAAGGCACGAGATAAATGGAACCATCATTTCAGATGTGAATTTTTGGCAAAAGTTCAAAAGTCGTGGAAATGAAGAAGACTGGTTGGAATGAAGTTGACGTCTGGTTAAAATAGAAGTTAAGAACGTGGAGTGAGCAGACGATGTTATCACTGCAGGAACTTGATAAATGGTCTCTTCTTCAATTTTAAAGGCCATTTCACCTTTCTTTCAATCTGATTAGAAGATTACTTGACAGTTGGGAATCGAAAAAGAGTAGACTTATACCGATGTCCTGGCACAATTCCCTCAACCCTGCATCTTTCTGATTAAAACTACAGAACTGCGCAAAAAAGCTGGACTTTTTGTTGTGTTTTCGGCTTTGAATTCAGTTTGTCTCTGACAAATACTAGATGAAAATGATTGGCTGTGTATATTTTCTGAAGTTTGATAAAGAGTGATAATCCTCATTATTTTTTGTGGACATATTTTCACAAGATAAATTATTTAAATTTTGGTTACTACCTTTTTTGATTTATTAATTTCTTGAAAAATACCGTGACCAATCATTGTCATGTAAAGTTTGATCGAGTACCCCACGATAATTGCCCGCGTTACTAATTTCACTTGATCAAGAAAGGGAAATTTCAAATTTTGAAAGACCTGTTTTTGATCCTACACGTTGGCAGGTATGGTGTCCGATTCCAACGAATATCATCGCAGGCGAAATCGATCATCTGATTAAATGTTCGGAAACTGTCCCTTTAAATGAAGATGTACCCAATCCCTGCCAAATGGTTCGACTAGGAGATAACACTAGCTAGGATCATTGTGTTGCGTTTTGACATTAAAATATTTATATTTGAGAGGAGTGTATATATTTATGATACTGTAAACTATGTGGTTAGACCCCACAACATTCAGCAACCTAATCAGACGGTATAGGTCAAACTTGTATTAAGCGAGTGGTCAGGGGAATGCTTAGAATTGGTCTTAGTCCACACCCCTCTCCCAAAGACAAAACAAATATAAAGTGTCCATGTGCCTTTCCAGTTGAATAGCATTTTTGTGAAATTACCTTAACCTTTCATGAAATCAGAGAGTATTGGTTAAGCATGAAATTACGTTCTAAGGGAAGTAACTGCGTTTATCAATGACTAATTATAGACCACATCTAAATATTTCTCTATTTATATCAAGGGACGTAATCATTCCGTATCAGACTACACTTACTGAATGACAAAAAACAAAGTAGCTTAAATTTTCATATTTGTCTTGTCTAGAGTTTCAACTGCCACTGGCACACAAGGAGACAAAAATCTCTAGTCGATCGTTTTTGACCTTGTCGATAATCATGTGCGGTGCATGCAATTGAAAGGAAAATGAATCTGATTGGATGATGACGGCCTAAAACTATCAGAGACAAGTATCAAAATTTTTTGATGTATTAAATCCTGTCGGAGACACATTAATCTTGTCGTGGAAGCACAATTTTACTCAAGATTCAAGTCGGCGACAAAAATCTCTGACTTAGACCTGCACCTTAAGTCTATTGTTTTCCAAAATAAATAACACATTTTCTTTAAAAAAAATTGTTATATTTAATCCAAAATATATACATTATCAACAACAATAACAAATTTCATTTACAAATCATGCCACTGTTTCTCAAAAAATTCTGATGATAAACATTGTCTTGAATAGTGTATTTCTCAACTTTAAACATCACATTTACAACAAATATTTACCCTAAGATTTCTTTTAGTAACAGTGACCATGTGCCTGATGTCAGAGCAACTTATAAATCTCCTATCTAATTACTAGGCTGGATAATAATATGCAATAAAACTCACCCTTAAATTATAAATGAGCTGTTCCAATCACTTCATATTAATAGAAAGTATGCTTGATGGAAGAGTCCAATAAAAAGTTAAGGGTGTCCAGTATATGACTAGCACACTATATAAAGACTTGTAATTAACTTAGAATAGAATTGCAATGGTTCTGAATCTGATAAAAAGCTGATTACTATATAAACCTATTTCTGCATAACTAACTTTAATATATTTGAATCTCAACTGTAACTTAAAAGGTTGTTTTTGTGTACAAAAAACAATATCAAAATGTCCACTAACAAAGAAAGAATTGTTAAAGGCTATGTTAAATTGCAATATATCTAATGGTCTATAACGCTCATGGGTGCACAAAATCAATTCAAAATATCTTGTAGAGAGTACACAATCCATAGCTAACAGTCTACACATACAAGGTTTTCGTTTTGGGTTGAAAAATTCAACACAAAACACAAAAATATATCAACTATCAGAAAAATATATGCACATTTTTGTCATTATCATAATTTCAATCCGCTGCAAGAATATTGATGCTGTTGAATTTATTAGTCATATCTGATTAGAGTTTCCAAATGATTTTTCACACATTTACACCAGAATTTGAACACAATCCAGAATTTCCACCTCATTACAAAGATTAAAGGAAGAGTTCTAATCTAAACTCAATGAGAACACAGTTTCTAAAATCGCAGATGTGGTTTTGCTGTTAACATATATCTATCGAGAATTTCCCAGAATCCATTAACTGAAGCACGATCAAGATGACGTTTATTTCGATCGAGGTTGATAACATGAACTGCCCATTTCTTGATATTAGCTTCTAATGGTGTTTCTGCCCATTTTAAATGAAACGCTTTGATTTTTGAGAAAATGTCTACTGGATTTGCACTCCATGGCCAACCTTTGAACTGCCAGGCTGGACCTTGAGCGAACACAGCTACCACTCTCTCCCAATCATCGGGGCTTAATTTTAACGGATTGTCTATAATTCTGTAAGGTACAGTTAAACCCCCTGGTTTACGTCGTTGAATCAAGACTTCATTATCTCGTTTCGTACCTTGGGCTCTTTTATCTTCGGTACTAACGAATTTAAAATCTTGGAGAATATCTTTAGCATTGTACATGGTGATTAATGAGGTTCCTGAAAGAATATAAATACAAAATATTAATACAGATGACACCTGTCACTTTATTTGTCAGTAATGCGAAATTTCTGGAGTTGTTTCACTACAGTATGCCCAGGATTTTTAAAAAAAAAAATACAATTAAATCAATGACCAAATTAGTAAATGTTTAACTTTCATATGTGTGATTGTATATTAAAAATGAAAAAAAAAACAAACAGGTCAACTTTTTCAGTGCAATAATTCTGACTGATATAGACCTTAAAAACAAAATTAGAAACTACAAATTTCTTCAAATATAAAATTATGAACTAGAGGAAATTTTCAAAAAAAGATATAGGCCTACCTGCAGCAGGGATAATAATAATAGGTGTCTTGGAGCCTTTTTTCTGGTTAGGTGGAGGTCGAGCCTGTGAGATAGGACGAGAAGTAGAAAATGACTGAGATGTTGGATTATTCTGAGACGAACTTGGAGGAAGTTTCAGACCTGCTGCTCCTTCTGTGACAGATTTAAGTGTCAAGCCGTGGTAAGTTCCCATGGTATCAATCTTAAAACCTTCTGTTTCATCTTTTCTGAAAATTTCTTGGTCGTATCTGCTGTAACCTCCAGTTGGTTTTGGCTTAACTGGGACTGCCGGAGTGTGCGACTGAGCTGATGAACTGTGATGACTGCTGCTATGACGATGACTTCCCTCTTCACGAGCCTTGATTGATTGAAGAATACTGAAAACATTTTTAGCGAATTGTTTGCCGTGACTTTGTAAAATGGTGGTACGTGTTCTCCATAAACGCTCTCGACTGACGATATCTCTAGTGACATCAACTTCAGCGTCGACGAAACTTCTCTGTTCTAACGCCCCAGGCTGGACATCATCATCACCTTTAATTTTCGTTCTTTTAATGGCCAAAACTTTAGCTTTGATGGCAGCAATTTTTTCTAATGGTAAAGCTTCATGTAATGATGATGATCCCAAACCTGACAGCCCGGACATTCCACGGGCACCAGAGATTCTTGAAATCCAGTTTCGTTTGGCAGCTTGTACCTGCTCCTCTTCCAGACGACTCTTCTTTTTCTCTCCCTCACCTCCTTGCTCTTCTGCAGACCGTTTCACCTGAATGGGTCTCTGTGAAATTTCCAGGGGTGCACTCTTGTCAATATTGGCTGATGTTACAATTACTCCATTTAGGTAGGCCAACAAATCTTTTCTGTCAGGACGACGGACGACATGCAAGTTGTTAGCAACCGCCTCTTTGACATACATGAAATGCTGCAAATGCACATTTTTGAGAAGAAACAGGATCGAATCCAAAGTGTAGTATTCCTTAGCGATGCCATCTTTGCCGGTACCCCAAGCAACATAGTTGGTTTTCACATTCTTAGGCCACGCAAATTCACCGAAAATAACCTGATCATCCTTTTCTATGATGTCCTTTTTGTTGATATTATATTGTCGCAATAATGTTAACACATCCGCCATGATTGCTTCTCAAAATACGTGTCACTGAATACAATAAATCTCCGAATGAGTGTTTTTGTTTTTCGAATTAATTTTACTTTTTTTTACATTGTATTTGTTTGAAACAGAAAACACTCTAATTCCATGTATTTGGATCTTCCCATTTCCGTTATATTTGGAACATAAGCACACAACAAATCAATCTAAACCCTGAAAGAATATCATCCCATTAACTCCCCTAGATAGCTCTTTTATAATAAAGTCCAAAATTGTCATCATAATGCGTGTTCATGAACTGAGATTTTCTATTCAGGGGAGGGAATATAATTCAGACAACAGCTAATTAATTTCAATCAAAGAACAAAGTTTATTATCACAGAAAGATATTTAATAATATACTATTTTGAAAAGTAGGGTACATTATTTACAATAAATAAAAACATTAAAACATAACTCTCGAATCCATAATAAGACCATTCTCAATGATTTTCTGTGGATATATAAGACAATATAGGCATACACAATATTTTAGCAAGTATGCAATAACATAAAATACAACCATCTAACAAACAAATCATAAGAAATAAATAATCAAATAAGCACAAAATATAGCTCAAACGTATACATTAATAAAGGTTTATTACGTGAAAATTTAATTGAGTAAGCACACCATACCATCTTTAAGGTTTCACAATTTTTCTAGCCTTTGTATGCGTATCACTTCTAGCTTCGATTTCCACTGTTAATATTTCCCGTCTGACCATAGACAATTGCAATGCTCAATGAAAGTCTTTTGCAAGCTTTTAATTCCATGAGGGTTTTATGACTGTTATTCTAAGATCTCTTTTACAAACCTTTAGATACTTCGTAAAATTCAGCAAATAATACGCACTTCATTACGGAGATAAATTTTGTAGGCTTGGAAAATTGTAGTCATTAAACGAAACAGTAGATGTATTCTGGTCGTCACTTCCGGCAGAAGAAATGGGTGAAAGTGAACTTTGACCTGAAGAATTCTGTAAAGTTTCAGTTGTAATAAAATCGATCAATTCTTTGGGTAGTGAAGATACTGAATTGGTGGAGTCAAAACTCTGATGATTTGGACTGCTTCCAGTTGAATTGTGCACTGGGGAATTTCTCTGTTTCTCGACGATTGGTGTAGCACTTTCAAATTTAGGGTAGAAGTTATACTGTGGTTGCTGGAATGGGCTTCCATATTGAGAAGGTGTGTTCGATGATAGGTCCTGTTTTACTGTCGTGTAACTTGAAATTTCTGGAAAGCTGGAAACTTGTTTGATAGCTGTAGGGTAACCAGATATTTCGACTGTGTTCGATGATGTTGTTGATGATGTTGTATAACTATCTAGATTCCGAGCTGTAGGTAACTGGGCAGTGAAGTTGTTAACAGGATAGCCATTTTGAGCCCTAGAATAACCATAATGAGGATTTTGGTAACTAAGGTGAGGATTCTGGTAACCATATGAATTATTTTGAGGCAATCTCCGTCCAGATTGTGTATAATAAGGCTGATATTCAGGTCTGTTTGATACAAAATTATTCCAAGGCTGGTGAGGAGTATAGTTAGATATTTGTGGTCTGTAATGACAAGTTGCGTCCCTTGAATGTTGTTGAGATTCAGAAGTTATTTCCCTTGCCTCAGTCTGTTGTGTTGAACTCAGCTCTTTGGAAACTTTATTTTGTATCGCCTTTCCTCCAGTTTCATTTTGTTGTTTTCTTTCTTTAGCTCTTCGATTTTTAAACCAAATCTGGAAGATACAACGATAAAATAACATTTAATAACTTGACAATATTACTTAGCTAGCTATTCATTTCTAGATATTAAAGGTTCCTTCAAAATTCAAAGTTAGAGTTACTCACTGCGATATTTTTATCTGTAAGATTTAAAGTTGTAGACAACTGAAGAATTAATTCACGGTACGGACTTGAAGTTTGCTGAGTAAAAATTTCTTCTAATTTTTCAACTTGTTGAGGAGTGAAATGAGTTCGATGTCGTTTTCTCACTCCTCGATTTTTACGAGTTAAATTCAAATAATTTGAATCTGTTTCTAGTGATATTGGAAGGTTCTTCATTTTTCAGACTCTTTTCTTCAGTTTATGAGGTTTTCAGTGATTTTAATTTCAAGTTTTCTTCCTCTTTTTGTTGCTTTGACTGAATGAGTTTGAAAGTTGAATGATCCATTTTGAGTTTTGTAGAACTTTATACTGTAAACTAAGATTGGAGCCAATCAGTTTGTTATATCGGAATTTTATTGATATTTTGTAGAATATTTGTGGTTCAATCTGAATAATCAGGAACCATTCTAAACCAATCATTGTTTGTTTTACATCAACCGTTTTATCAAACCAGTTATAGTGAGTAGTTATTAACCACTGGTTAAAGTTGGATATCTCCAATAATTGGTAATCAAGTTATTAAAAAAAACTTGTTATATTACTGGATTTGGATCACCACAATTATCAAAACACACTTGTAGGGTTAATGAGTTCAATTAGGGTTAAAAGGATTAACGAATATCAGGGTCGGGTATACTTGAAGAAAACGAAGGGGTAAGCGATTTGTGTGTTAGTTAATCAATACGATGATTGATTGGTAAATTGATTGTGAAATCAGGTCACCGACTCAGAAAATTTGACTTCATTGAGCATGCCTATTCGAGAATTGTAATTCAGTAATATTTTGAGGATATCTATTTTGTTAAAGAATAAAGTTTAGAAGTCGGAGTCCCCAATATAAAATGCTCACTTTTCAGGTAGAGTGGGGACACTTCGTTTTAATAACTTACTGAGTTAAATAAAAAAATCTCACTAGGATAATCTGTGAGATGCATGTATTGAAGAATAATATAAATTGTTATAAAGAATGTATTAGAGATTAATCTTACAACAATATAATCAATATCAGTGATAACATCTCACTCCTTCGGTATCTTTAAAAATTTCCGACCCTCGTGTTCATTAATCCCTTTACCCCTCATTAATCCCTTTACCCCTCATTAATCCCTTTACCCCTCATTAATCGCTGATTGTTTTGTTTAAATAAATATGGTGGTCTGTTTCAATGTTTTGATTACTAGTGATTGGAGAAATCCAACTTTAACCCTCGAGTTAAAATCTACTCACAATAACCGGTTTGATAAAACGTTTGATGTAAAACAAACAATGATTGGTTTAGAATGATTCTGATTATTCAGATTGAACCACAAATATTCTACAAAATATCAATAAAATTCCGATATAACAAACTGATTGGCTCCAATCTTAGTTTACAGTATAAAGTTCTACAAAACTTAAAATGGATTATTCAACTTTCAAACTCATTCAGTCAAAGCAACAAAAAGAGGAAGAAAACTTGAAATTAAAATCACTGAAAACCTCATAAACTGAAGAAAAGAGTCTGAAAAATGAAGAACCTTCCAATATCACTAGAAACCGATTCAAATTATTTGAATTTAACTCGTAAAAATCGAGGAGTGAGAAAACGACATCGAACTCATTTCACTCCTCAACAAGTTGAAAAATTAGAAGAAATTTTTACTCAGCAAACTTCAAGTCCGTACCGTGAATTAATTCTTCAGTTGTCTACAACTTTAAATCTTACAGATAAAAATATCGCAGTGAGTAACTCTAACTTTGAATTTTGAAGGAACCTTTAATATCTAGAAATGAATAGCTAGCTAAGTAATATTGTCAAGTTATTAAATGTTATTTTATCGTTGTATCTTCCAGATTTGGTTTAAAAATCGAAGAGCTAAAGAAAGAAAACAACAAAATGAAACTGGAAGAAAGGCGATACAAAATAAAGTTTCCAAAGAGCTGAGTTCAACACAACAGACTGAGGCAAGGGAAATAACTACCGAATCTCAACAATTACCAAGGGACGTAACTTGTCATTACAGACCACAAATATCTAACTATACTCCTCACCAGCCTTGGAATAATTTTGTATCAAACAGACCCGAATATCAGCCTTATTATACACAATCTGGATGGAGATTACCTCAAAATAATTCATATGGTTACCAGAATCCTCAGCTTAGTTACCAGAATCCTCATTATGGTTATTCTGCGGCTCAAAATGGCTACCCTGTTAACAGCTTCACTGCCCAGTTATCTTCAGCCCGGAATCTGGATAGTTATACAACATCATCAACAACAACATCATCGAACACAGTCGAAATATCTGGTTACCCTACAGCTATCAAACAAGTTTCCAGCTTTCCAGAAATTTCAAGTTACACGACAGCAGCACAGGATCTGTCATCGAACACACCTTCTCAATATGGCAGCCCATTCCAGCAACCACAGTATAACTTCTACCCTAAATTTGAAAGTGCTACACCAATCGTCGAGAAACAGAGAAATTCTCCAGTGCACAATTCAACTGGAAGCAGTCCAAAGCATCAGAGTTTTGACTCCACCAATTCAGTATCTTCACTACCCAAAGAATTGATCGATTTTATTACAACTGAAACTTTACAGAATTCGTCAGGTCAATGTTCACTTTCACCCATTTCTTCTGCCGGAAGTGACGACCATAATACATCTACTGTTTCGTTTAATGACTACAATTTTCCAAGTCTACAAAATCTGTCATCATGATTAAATTTAAAATGCAGCGTTGATTTCAAGTTTATGTTATTATCCCTAGAAGATAATCTTCACTTTTGAATTGTTATTTTGGTATTTGCATGTGAGCACGTATATTAACCTATACTTTGATATGTCAGAGTGTATTTCTGTGCGTACAATAATGTATGATTATGTGTTTATATGAAATTACATGTATTAATTTTGTGAAATGTATTAATTTTGTGAAATGTATGTTATTTGTTATAAATTATTCTGTGTAATTATTTTTCTGTGATAATTAAATATTATTTTGTATATGAGAATACCATGAATTGTTACTATTATTGTATATTTATTGTTTTATATTTATATATAAATTGTATATTTGTCTCAATATTAATAAATAAAACATAATAAGAATAACCGTGGGCCTATACAATCTATAATTCTCACTGTGATTTCGAGATTTAGTCCTGGACACCTTTTATTTCAGAGTAACGAAAAATATCTTTATTATGTACAATTCTCTGCTATATATACAAGTATACGTACACACAAAATACTGATTCAGCAATACATGATGATAATGGTAGCGATAATTTCACAATCCTTGTTGTTTATCTTAAAAATAAGCTGTAGTTGTAAAGCCCCTACCTTAGGGAACAATGAAACACTGACCTCCATGTTTATGCATTTACTTAGTGGAATTTAAGACTTTTCATTTCAAACTTATGTCTTCCAGATTTACTGAAGAATAAAAATTGATGCGCATTATATTTTCATGCGCATTATCATCGCAATTATACGGTACTGATTTCGATAAATATATAAGACAGTCTGACAGTTTCCTTCCATTCGATCTCTTGTCTTAATACAGGCTATAGTATTTTATGCCAATACACAGTGTGTTAACCCGGAAATACTAATTTTAGTAATAGATAATACATGTCTTCTGCCCCTGCCGTATATCTTTTGACTATCTATTTATATAAAAGAAGGTTTTGTAAAGTAGGAATCGATGGACATTTTTTCAGGTCGGACAAAATGTTCATTCATATATCATCCTGAAGTTTAAAGATGCGTGTCGACCTCTTTCTTGCAGGATTCCATTTCACTGACCTCGTTCTCTGAAAAGAAAAGACAATCAGAGATGTTAATAAAGGGAGACAACCTATCAAGCTAGTGCTTATAGAATGTAACATTACGCTAGTTTGTGCTATCAGCTTCTGATAGGAGAGGACATTAACTTGTCATGTACCAACCAACATTATAAAAGAGTCTATCTCTGAATATTCTATAGGGTAAAGTTGTGTAAATTGTGACTTTCAATTACAAGTGCTCAATATCAGTTGTCTGTATCACAAGCGGAAAGTTTCACTATCGCTTTGCAATATATTGACTAAGCTTTACAGAAATTGCCAAGAGTTGCAAATGCTTTTTTTTTCAGATTGAAAATTGGCCAACTGATTCCTAAGAAAACCAGACATTAAGTTCTTCCGATTAGGAAATATATAAATAAAATCTCTGTTTAATTGTAAGAATATAAATAATAAATACAAAATCATTTGAGATATAAAACAAACTAAATTTTAAACCAAAGATACCAGGTCATTTCTATCTTAAAGACATAAGGAAAAGATTATATAGCCTTCTCCAGAAAGTTACCTGACAATGTTTGAAGAAATAGAATGTTGAAGAGTTCTAACGAGGTTTAAAAGGCCTATCCCACAGAAAAGAATGGCTGAAAATCTAATTTTAAGAACTAATCTCATAAAGCAAAGACTAGATCAACTAAAGATAACTAGTTTGCTGAAGAAGCATATGCAATTGTAATATATCATTTTACTACTAGGGTAGGATCTATATCTAATAATAATACATAATCTGACACAAAACTATCAGAACTATAAAGGGAAACTACTCAGTATTAAGATCACACCAAGGGAGATAATTCAAAAAGAGGGATAACTCATTATAAGGTCATCCAAAGGGAGATAATCTTACGCTGATGTCAACTGGAACACAATAGCTGTAAATCAATTGGGCGGTTATTGTATTAATCATACATCTGAGGTCTTTAGAGGTCGAAATTGGTTAGATGATGGCTCATGATTTAGTTGGTTAGAGAGAAGAATTTCGTCTTCTGTAAGAAAGTAAGTTGTTAGTTTCATTAGGAAGCATGTCGAAATAGATACGTAATGAAATGAATACCACCCCACCCCCTCCCCACAAAAAAAAA